TAAAATAATAAAACAGCTATGGCGCTCATGGGCCACCCTACACTACAGCATGGATAAATAAAGCGAAACCTTACTTTGTGGATCAAATTGGAGACATTCTTCAAGGTGATTTAGATATGAACAATTTCAAAGTAAATAATTTAGAATCTCCAGAAAATGATAATGACGCTGTTCACAAGAAATATTTACGGGATCAAATAAATTCAATTGAAGTAAATAAAAACCATTTAGAAGATAAAATAAGTAATGTGAAAAGATTCATATATAACATTCCAGATGAAAATGAAGATATATTTCAACAGGAATTAAATGCTCTGGAAACCAAATTTAACAATGAATTACAAAAAAAATAACAAATATTAAACAACAAATACAAAACATTGATGATAGTGAAATCAAAACCTATATTCAACAACAAATACAAAACATTGATGATGGCGAAATTATAACCTATATTCAACAACAAATACAAAATCTTGATGATAGTGTTATTACAGATAACCACTATTAATAACGAAGTTTTAAAACAGGAAAAAAATATAGCCGCATTAGAAAAACATCTCAAGGAAGAAAATAAATCATATCATTTCAATCTTCCATTTAGAGATTTGAGTGATGAAGATATTAAAACTCGTAATAATATTGATAAATTAAAAGAGTATGAATATAAAAAACATGGATTTACAGCAAATATTAAGATTATATTCTGATCTAGTTTTTGATTTCACCCAAGGAATGTTTGATGGTGATCATTTATTGGAAAAATTCGAATTGAAATTATTTTTCCTATGCAGGTAAAAGTTGATTCAATATTCTTCAGACAATTCTCACGATATCGATCTAATTAATTATTTACCGCTCGTAAAGTTCTTCAGTTTATCAATGGTACAGAAAATGTAGAAACTAAATAATTAGAAATTAACGACGAAAACAGCAAGGTTTGCCCCCACTTATTAATCATACCAGATAAAGAAGATAGTATTCTTGTATTGAGTGATTTTGATATGATATTGGAAACGGAAACTCCACCATCAATCAACATTATTGAACACCCAATACTCCAACAAAGAGTTATGAGTTTTACGAACATCAGACTTTGAATACGTAAAACTATATTTTGTTGATGAATTTTTTAACAAAGATTCTATTGATTTATATACCTCAATTGATATTCACAAAAGTGATTAAAATAAATAATTTATGTTATTACCATCAATAATTGCAAGTGTTGGTGATATATATACTTATAGATGTAAGATAAACATCAATATTGAAAAACCAAAATTTTCAGTTCATCTAAATAAGATTAATGATTCAAAAGAACAAATATCGTTAATAACTGTGCAAGTTTTCTAATGCTGATATTTATCAATCAATAAAGATGAAAAAAGAAATATAAAAAAATATTGGCTATTATGGGGAACACCCCATCTTTCATATTAACAAAAGTGCAGTTAATCTAATCATCTAAAAATGGAACTGTTTGAAAGCAGTAGACAAAACTACATGATATAACAACAAAATGAACTAAAAGAAAAACTAAAACACTTCAATAAATGCAGAAAAACATGGAGTAGATTTGATTCTGTTTTCAAAACATTAAGCACAATTCTAATAGTGGCAACAGCCGTAACTGGTGGATTAATGCTTCCAATAATTGTCCCAACTGTATTACCCGCGTTCACTGCTGTTCAAACATCATCTTGTGGATTGATAACATTAGGTTATACATCAAAACAGAAATCTCATTATAAAAAGAAAACAGAAATTTTAAATTCATATCTTAATAAATTATTTATATCTTTTGAAAGATCGAGAGAGTATAAGAACATAACCATTGAAGAATTAGAAGAATTCAATGAAATTTTAGATAAATTTGATGTAGAAATATCATCTGTAAATATAAAGATAAAATTAAAAATTAAAAATAAAACTTAAAAAAAAAAAAGAATGGATAAAATTGGAAATTTAGACAAAGGACTATCCAAAAGACTTTTTTCATTGATATTCAATTCAATACCTAATTTATTTACGCGTAAATTTGACAAAGAAGATGAAGAATCCTTTAAATATATAGTTGATAATATAGATGAGGTGTTTAAAAACGAGGAGAATGAAATTAAAATATCAACCACAAATATGATTTATTCAGAATTAATCAAGAGAACTATTCTATTTAATGATTTTGAAATTAAAGGTCAAATTGAAATAATTGGAGGAATATATGAAGAGGGGAAATATAAACACGACATGACAGTAGCTGGTTTCAATGCCCAATCTTTCCAAGCTGCTTATTCAACGGCACATAATACATTGGTATTTTACAGGAGAGATTATTTTCCGTAAAAATAATTTTAAAATAGTAAAAACATCTAAAACAGGCAGAGGTGGAAATTTACTTAAAAAGATAAATGGATACAAAGGGGAAATTACATACCAAGCGATGGTTATTTTTTTATAAAGTGTGTAAATCACTTCATGAATAAATACTTAATAAATGCATCTAAAGACTTAACAAAAGAATTTGAAAAAATTTATCAACAGTTTTCAAAAAGCAAAACGAAAAGGAGTGATGATGACAGTTGGAAGAATTAAGCTATCCAACGATCGATTTAATACAAATTTTTAAATCTATAATCCTAAAGACAGTCATTTCTAACCAAGATATGTAAACAGGGACTTAGATTGGTTTTTTTACTTACACAAAGAACATTTCTGTTTGATAAGAAGAAATAATAAAGAAATAGAATACAACTATAATGAAAATGTATGGAAAACCTGCAGAGATGATGATTTAGTATCATTTTTGCTCAGGTAAAACTAAACGTGATTTCACAACCCCTTGATGGGTGTTTATTCGCATGGGATTGTGAAACATATTGTGAAGAGGGGGCTAATAAAACAATTCCTTATTGCTGTACTTTAGTCAATTTGGAAAACCTAAGGAAAAAAGTAGAACTAACTAAAAGAGTATTCCCAGATTTAAAGCCGACAGATCCCACTCCAGAAAGGTTTTACAACAAACTCATGACTAATATAGTAGAAATATTTGTAGGAACAGATTGTTTCTTGTTTCGATCAGATGTTGCGTCGTTTAGGACAAATACATCAAAAAAGACTAACCTTAATTTTCCATAACAGCAGCAGTTTGACAACTGGATTGCACTTAAAAGTGTCAAAAAACTAACACATTGTCAACTAGTAACAGATAAAAAAAATTCTATCTCTTCCTTTATCTAATCCATATACAGAAGAAAGATTGCAGAAAAAGTGGAAAAGAGAGAAAAGACAGAAAGGAGAGATAAAAATATCTGATAAAAATAACTATTTACAAAACATATGTCTCATTTCAACATCAAAGCACTTGTTTGGCGGCATGGGGTAATTCATCTAATCTACCGATGAATTTAAGAAAAATAATGAATGTAGACATTGCTAAATACACCAAGGACAACTGGGAACCTTTAAGATATGAATGTCTTGGAGTCTGTTTGATAAAATACAATCAAGCAATGAAAGAAACTGTCTTCCAAAACGTTTCAAATAATCGAACAGCTCCGGTGCTATCTTTAAAGGGTTGGTATTATTTGTATTATTACGACATAGAGGTGGTTGAAAAAAATGGTATGAAACTACTACAAAGGTTCCAGAACACACTGAAAAAGAAAACATTGAAAAGGTTTATTCACACACTCATCCTTTATAAGATATTTCATCAGACAATCCATTAAAGGAGGGAGAGTTTCTGCTAACAGGAAAACATTTGAAACGGACAAAATGAATGAGATTTGCGCCATATCAAAGGAGTATTTTGTGACACTGAAGGAATAATAGATTTATTCAAAGAATACAACACAAATACAAAAGATAAAACAGAAGTTCACGCTAAACTCAAAGAGCTGAACTATTCTAAACTGATGACATTTGACGCTAATGGGATGTATGCCTCTGCTATGACAGAAGGTGAATATCCAAAATCTGAAAGTGCTAGAGCATTTTTACCTGAGAAAGAAAAAGAATTTGTTAAGCTATTTAATGAAGAGAAATTCAGACCTAGAACAGCTATTTTAAAAGTCTGTTTTGAATATCCTACTAACATGTTCTTTCAACCAATACTTGCTAAAGATAAAATAACTTTTACGAACAGAATAGGTAAGAAGGAAACTGGCACTAAAATCGGGTTTAGAAATGGCTTCTGTTCAGACGTTTTAACATCGGTTGACATTCAAGAAGTAGTTAAAGCCGGTGGTAAAATACTCACGATATTAGATGGAACAGTCTATGAAGAAAATTTTAAAACTCCACCATATAGAGATTACATTTTAATTTTGAAGGAATTAAGGAATAAATACAAAAAGGAAGGGGATGTGGTTGCTAGTAACTGCGTGAAGTTGTTAGGTAATTCCTTATACGGTAAATCTATTCAGAGGGATAGAAATAACTCATTGCATTATGGAATGAAGAAACCTTCCGCCTTAATATCGACAATCACGTCAAGAAGTATGACAAACTAAATGATACTCAATACATTGTTGAGATTAATGACGAAGAAAAAGAGTTTGTTCCTCCAAAGGATTCTACAAGATTAACACCCACTCATTTAGGTGCGTTTATATTATCTCACAGTAAAAGAATAATGAACAATTTTATTCATGTAATAGATGGATTTTATAAATCGGAAATATACCATACAGATACTGATAGTTTATACATTTCTTCTAAAAATTGGGATAAATTAAATAAAATTGGATTGGTATCTGAAACTGAATATTGCAAAGGAAAGAATGACTATGGAGATGGTGGAATTATTTTTGGTATGTATTTAGCATCAACAGTTAAATATAATATCATTTTGACTTCTGATGGTGTTTTAAAAGAAAAGAAAACGTTTAAGGGATACTCTAACTATAAGATTAAGGTGGACGATTATGTTCAATTAGCTAGCGAATATGATGTGACGAATGAATTTGATAAATCACGGGGAAAGAGTTTTACGGATGGAATAGTTATTCCTAATGAAAAACAAACTAAAAAAATTAAGAAGTTATTTGAATTTAGTGAAGAGAAAAGCACCAGATGATGAAGGAATAATGTATTCGTACAACTCTAGGAGGGAGATGTGCTTGGATGACGATTATGTATTTGATGATTTTAATTATTTACAAATGTATCCAATGATGATCCATCAGAATAAATTTAGTTCTTTTGGTTTAAATGAAGTGGAATTACAATTTCCTCGTTACCAAAATCTATAAACCTATTTTTATCATCTTTGATTTCCAGATTTATATCTTTAATCATATAGGAATTAAGTGGTAAATATGCTGTTTGAAATGGTTTCTCTATAATTCTATATCCAATAGGAACAGTGAATGTTGGAATGCTGTAAATAATCTGACTTTTGTATTTGTTTGAAAAATCCACCGTTTATTAAATTGCAGTGAATATTAATGACATCGATATCATTCTCGATATTAGCTTTGTGTGGAGCTAAAGTGGACTGCGTGTATATTTTTTTTTATCAAAGCCCAGTATGAATTTTCTACATTGAAATCAACTTGACTCTTATTTCTCAATATCAATTTTATTTTGTTCAGATTCAAATTACCTTCGAATTCAATATTGTTTCTACCATTAGCACTTCCTCCATATTCAGATAGGTAATCGGTAATGGCTACGTATTCATAGCTTCCTGGTAGTAAACTTTTGGTTTTGAATGTAACTCCGTTATCTGTTGATATTTTTATTTGGTTATTATTTTCGTTGATATTTCTAATGGAATTGTTAACAGAGAAATATTTTAACCCCAATTCATATTCTTGATTGCGATCTAGTTCATACTCATAATCTAGAGACAATTTTATGTCAGATTTATTTGAGGTGATAACGAATAATTGTTCTTTATTTGACATTTTTAATCACGTTTTTATTATCATTTTTATCTATAATACCTTTCTCGAGGAATTTTTTTAATATACAATTTACTTTATTATATTGTCTGTGTGATCGATTATCTTCCTTCATTGCCGCTAATATTATTTGTAATTAAGTAGTTCCTCATTGTTGTCGGATAAAAACGTTATACCCTGTCCACTTTTTTCTCTAGCTATCTACTCTTCCAATTCGTCTATTTGTTGTGTGATTGAAGTATCATCTGCTTCGTCAACTTCATCATAATCATCTGCTTCATCAACATCATATTCATCAGCAATAACTTTTTTATATATATAGATCAACTACTTTCGATCTTCTTGTTTCGGGTCCTGACTTTCTAATTGCATGAAGACATTTTGAGTATGCTACTAAATCCTTGTAATCGGCAATATCAACATCCCCACCATTCATTAAATCTATTAATCCTTTAGTTAATGTAAATATTGAGTCTTTTGTATCGATTTTGAATAGAGGGTAATTTGACTTAAATTTTATTCTAAATCCATTAAACAATAACTCCTTATCATCAATGATTGGTGAAATACTCTTTGGTAAATCTGGTTTAGGGTTTGAAAAAAGACGATTTATATCATCAAATGTCCTAATTATAATACCACCATATTGATTCGGTTTTGGATCGGGGTGATCTTTATGAGGCGTGGGTTCTATACGAGGCGTGGGTCTATATTCTAAAGCTAATTTCTTTTTAATAACCCTTGAGTTATTAATATTGGTTGAAATAAAGTTTGAAGATTTTCTGCTAATCCAAGTTGTTGTAATTTGTTATTGCGTGGACGCTTTGCTTTCGTTATGTTTATTTTTTTTATTTTTTTTTTTTTTGGGAACGTTCCTAGACAAAATCGAAAATGGTATAGCATAATTGTCTTCACCAAACATATTTAAATGACCTGGAATAAAAAATGAATATCTAAAACTCAATTTTTGCCAAACCGGAAGTGTGCCATTGCATAATGTGCAAATATTTTGCATCAAGTCTGTAGGGCTTATTTATGAACCGATTTACCTGAAATTTTCTTTAATATGTTCATTGTTATAAGACGTATCTGGTGAGGCTAAAAAAATTCAATTTCAAAATTTTCAAAAAGCTCAAAATTTCTAACTCAGCCGCTAATTATCCGATTGATCTGAAATTCACAGGACATATACAAAATGTCCATACAAATAAATTTATACAATCAAAATTTTCTATCACTTTCCGTTTTTGCGTGAGAACTTCCGGTTTTTTTAAATCACGCCTGGCACCCCCACTTCCGGTGTAAATTACAGATATTGGCAAAAACCATATATATTGTCTGTCTGTCATAATTAGAATGCACTTAGCAGAAAAAATCCAAACCGGAAGTGATGCATAAGCCGCCGCCTCGGACTGACCCATTTTAGCAAAAAATTAATTAGTCCTCCATTTTTTATCCGATTTTTATGATTTTGGTGTCTATTAGAACCTTGTAACCTTGTCTACAGTTTGTTGGAACAGAATTTTGAATTTCTAATTTGAATATTTTTATATTCGTTTGAATTTTTTGAAAATTCAAAAAGCCACGCCATGTGACCTTGACCTTCGATGACCTTGAAAATTTCACTGTAGGATGTTCTTGACCTCAGTTATCCACAGGTGTACTCATATTGGTTGAAAAATATTAACTTCCGGTTAAATAGCCATTCAAAAATTAACATTTTTGACAACTTTGTACGACTGTATGACCTTTTCTAATAAACACAGAAAATTATTTTGTTCAATTTTGTAATTTCCTTTTGATTATCTTTTCTTTTCTTTTGTATATTCAGGATCTACTCAATTTTCTCTTTTCAACGATATGTGACATGGGTTGTTTAATACAAAATTGAATTTGTGAAAATAGGCATAAAAGTGTTAAATGTTTATAAGAAATGTGATAAAAAACTGTAGATTGTGGGGATTAAAATGATTGACAGGTGTTATAACAGGTTATATAATATGATAGGAAAGCTATCCTTATGAACTTTTGACATGCAGGTGTGAAGTAGTTTGGGTCATAAACAGATTAATCTGATTATGTAATCTTTTAACACTTAAAAAAATAACTTTAATTTTCAATTTTTTTTTTAATTTTCACTTACAATAATTTAACATACACTCATATAGAGTAGTGAATTTTTGATACATTAATTTGTTCGAATTTTTTCTGTACTATTAATAGAACTATATCTGCAAGATACACACATCAGTTTTGGTTATTGGTTTTAGTTAGGCTGAGGGAATAAAAGCAAACAGCTATGATGACAAATTTTTGAAAGAAAAAGGGCACAGGGGAGTAGGAGTATATTATAAGCAAAACAAAAATGTCAACATTTTAAAATTGGGAGTTTTAAATATAGAACACATTGCTTTGAATATCTTGGATAAAAATATTAACGTAATTGTTATCTATAGACCACCCGTTTATCGATTAGATTTATTTCTCCCAATGTTAGAAAGATTATTAGTTAAATCACAAGAATCTGGTTCAGACTATGTTATTATGGGGGATTTCAGCCAAATTATCTTGGAGGGTCATTTGTCCATACCAAATTCAAAAATTTGGTTTTCAACAACTTGTTCAGCATTACACTACTGAAGGTGGGACACTTATAGATCATGTTTATATCAGTAAAGAAATTCCGTCACATAATGTTCACATTTCACACATACCTGTATATTATAGCTACCATGAAGCTATTAAAATAACCATACGATAAGTTATATTGATACAAGATTGAATTTACCCTTTCACAAAACATTTCATTTAGCTTGGCTCTTTACTAAAAGTGGTGTCAACACCGGGCTTGAGAGGGTTTGAAGTTCAAAAAAGTCTTACAGCTATCAGGCAAAGTATCACGGGCCACGCTCAGTGCTGTTCACAACTCTAGTTTCAACTTGGGTCTTTATTTTATTCTTAGCTTTGATATATTCTCTATTTCTTTCTAAAATATTATTCCAATCGCTACTCATTTTCAAAAAAATAACATTAACATATGTCGATCATAACTCTTTCACCCGCAGGTTTTCTAGTATTAACGAATATATATCCATGATCATCTGGGTATCTCCATTGAGCTTTAGCTTTTAAATGTATCTCTGTCCATTCCGTGATTTATAGACTGAATGATTTGAGATAAATCTTTGTCGTTTAATTCAAATAAAAAAAAACAATTTGCATTTTTTCTAATAAACATAGAATCCGTCCCGTAAAAAGATTGAGATTGGTATATGCAGTGACAGTTGTGATGTCTTCCTTTCGTGAAGAATTCTTGTTGAACAGCTCGATTTCTTTGTGCTACACAGTCGTCAAACAATATTAAGTTCTTTCGATTGCTATCAATTTTAGACAAATCTAAATCAATAACATTTTTCGTAGGTTTTTAATGTAGTTATCTATGATATCTTTTATTTCCACTTCTTCTTCGTTGTCTTCATAATATTGAAATATATCTTGAACATCTTTCTTTGGTAAATATTCTACCGAACTACCGCATATACACATAAGCATTGGGTTTCTAGGAAATATTTTTGAATGTTTGAATTTCTTTCCCATTTTTATTTCTATATTTTTGTTCCAAAAATCACTCCATCTCCTTTATACTTTGAAAGAAATAATCCTTCTCCAGTGTATGTTTTTTAAAAATATTCCATTACCCTTATGTTTGACTTTCATTTCTCCCGTGTCGATTTTATCTGTGATACTGTTTAATCCTTATTTAACAGTTTTCTTGGTTTCTTCCCCAAATCGTTTTCCAAATTCTTTAACTGTACCTAATATTTCTGCCACTCCTGAACCTTTTTTGCAGAAGGTAATTTCTGTGCTTCCTTTTCAATTACTAAATTATGTCTATGTTCTTCGGCAGCTTTTACTGCAGCTGCTTTATCTGCATTGGCAGCTTTTCCTCCAGCAGCTGTACCTCCAGCTACTGCATCCGCGGCGGTAAGACCGGCAAATATCAAAGGTAGGAAAGGTAAAAATCCACCTTCTTCTGCATTCGCGTCAATTCTTTCTAAGTCTATTTCGTCTCTGACTTTACAATATTTGTATTTATCAATAAGTTTTTTAGTTATGTTGATTTTTTTACCATTGTAAGTTATTACAGTTGGGAAAGCTGTTTCAATAGCTTCTATTATTTTCATAACTAAAGTTTCTGGCTTCATTTTTAAGGGTGTATTTTTTACTCAATTCTTATCATTCTTCTATCTGCTATTTTAATTAATTTTACTTCTTCCAATAATAAACAATAACCGGTTACATCTGCTTGTGTTTTTTCAATATTAATATTTATGTTCACTCCTGTTTTGAAAAGATCATCTTGGTGAGCTGATAGATCAAAACAGAAGATTGGATGATTAAGTTGGTTAGGATAATTATCATTGTTTAATCTTACTTGAACTTTATGGATTAAAGGATCTTGATTTTGGTTCAATGCCACTCTGAAGACATTATTGTGATTCGTCTGAGAGTCTAGTAAGTTCTTGAAACCAACCATAAAATATCTTGCTGGTTTAATAGTATTGGTGATTGCCCAAGTAGTGGATTCTCCAGTTAAAGTCATGCTACCTACCGTGTTACGACGAAGAAAAGCTATGTCAATATCTTTAGTCAACAGGTTGAATATTCTCGTTTCTACTTCAATTGATGGTGTTATGACAGGTATGTAAAGTTGGAGATTCGTTATTTCTAATTTTGCATTGGAAGCATTCTCTCCAAAGAATATCTAATCATCATTGATTTCTCTATGTAGATGAATTTTTCATGGTAATCCTATGGAAACCTTTCTGTGTTCCAACAGACCGAATAATAGATATAACTTCCAATTTACGTAATTACCCCAACTATTATTATCAACGCTATTGTGATACTTAAGTACTCGTTTTTCAAATCTATTGTGTTTCGAGCAACAACTCTCACCCTAGCCAAATCCGCATCATTTGCAACATTTCTTACCGGTCCTTGAAAACACTTCGATCGCCACATCGGGTATCCAGCCTGAGACTGAAAGGTAATTTTTGGGATAAAGAACTGTTTTCAACATTGCGTCAAGTTCCCCAGCGTGTTTAATGGTTTCTATAGGATTTGAACCAGCTTCCAAAACTATCTCGCTAAGTAAAGATGGAAAGAAATTGTTTTCTAACGTTGTATTAGTTTGTGGTACACGATTTTCATTGGGAGTTCCATCTTTTATTTTGAAATCACATCGAAAATAAGCATCGGAAAGAAGTAACTCTGCCACCATCATTCAACTCGGATTTAGAACCAACAGTCGGTGAGATGATAATATAATCCTATTTTTTAGTCGGCATATGGTAAAAACGGCATGTGGTAAAAACGGCATATAGTAATGTACACACTACTGATATTTAAGTTTTAATACAGCAGTTTTATAATCTTTATAAACAATTGATATAATTTTTCTTTCTTTTCAGACCTCTTAGTTTGGAGTAAGTATATATACCAACTTAAATACCAATTTAATACCAACAAATCTCAACATGACTCTAACATGACAACGTGATAATTAAAATTTTCAAAAATTTATAATAATCCTAGAGGAATATTTCCAAATGTTGTTACGGTTACATACCTCACCTATATTGTTGATTGAAATATTTAATTAGTGGTACAGTATAGATAATTATGTTGAATGATAACTATTTCAGTAATATAAAGACTATATGTTATCTTCCTGGCGGTGAGAGTTTTAATTGGTTTTGTATAGTGACCTGTTCAATTGAATTGAAGTTCTGTAAGGCGTTAGAGGTAAAGTTTTTAACATAGTAAGCTGTTTAGCCGATGATTGATTCGGAAACTGTCATAATATATTGATCATCATTATGGAATCTATAAAACAGCAATTATAACATCAAACAATCACAAAATGAAAGAAAGCTATAAGTCCTTGGCTACATCACTTTGCTTTCTCTTTCCCGGATTATTGGTACCCATTTACAACTAGATCGACTGGAATTTTGAGGAAACATGACATGGAATTCATTCATGAACTGACTGTGCTACCGTCCTACATTAATGAACTGTCAATATGCCAAACTCATTAGCAAACCTTTTCAATTTTGTTTATTTTCCTTTTTACTCCCATTACTTTCTTATAACTGAAATACGTCTGTTTTCAGCCCATATTATCCATATTGAGTGGAGTAGAGCTAGGCGATACAGAAAAGATAATAACAAATCTCAACGTAGTGACAGAATGTCTGAAAGACGTCAAAAGTGAAATAGGAAAATTGCATGGTATTTCATAATCACATATTTGTATCAATACCAATTCAAATCTAGATATAGCACAGGACGGCTTTATCTATATTTCAAAATCTTAAGATTTAAAAACTGTTCACAATTTTGATAGATGTAATATAAATTGACGAAAACAAGATATTTTTTAGGATATAAAATTCAACATTAGAAAATGAACACAAACTCGTATCGACTTCAATAATATGTCTAAATCAAATGAAACTTCAAAATCCTACTTCCAATAGTTTTGATTTTATTTTTAAATTTTGGTTGGATAAAAATATCTGTTCTAGAAGTACGGTAAAACCTCTCATCCAACAGCTGAAAAGCATCTGGCAAATTTCTGGTTTGCGGTCGAAATTCTTTTTGCGCTAAGCGAATTATCATTAAATGAATGAATGCATGGAGTTTTGCGTCCTACTTTTCTGCACCATGTGGGCTAATGAAGGCGGTCTATGCCACGCAGGGGGCAATGAGGGAAATTTTGCCAGGACAGCGACATAAGCCTGCTCTTTTTCGATTTCCAACTGTCGAGGGATCTTCAACGTGCACAGCCTGTAGCACACGGGGCCTCGGTTTATTGTCTCATCCGAACGACTAGACACTTTTTCCATGTCAGCCCCTCTCACCTGCATCACTTACAGGGGGAAACCGGGGTGAAAAATCCGAAGGTATTATCTCGAGCTATGCCGGGATTGAACAAGCGTCTAACTCACTGAACCATCGCGGCTCCCGCGAATTATCATTACTATTGAATAAGTGTATATATAATATATATATATATATAATTAACCACATGAGAAAAAAAATATCAGAAACTTCGCATTACAGTGTGTTTCATTTTCATTATATTTTTTGCAGAAAAACTTACAGGTGAAGTGTTCTTTAAATTGATCAGTCCATATCTTTCTGGGTGAGCTTAATTACATTAATGTTTTTTTTAAACCTTGCTTCCTGATGCTCAATGATGCCCCTTTAGTGCCATGTTCTTTTAGCAACTGTTAATATTGTCCATACTTAACACGGAAAGTATTGTATTTAACTTTGCTTAAGGAACATGCTTTAGGCCTATTAACATTCATATATTGTTGGAAAATGAATACTTTTTGAATTTGTATTTCAGGTGGGATGGAGAATTAGGTACTCCACCTGGCTTGATATTTGACGGAATTGAAAATAACCACCCACTTAAGGTAAGAGGAGAAAATTTTTTTAAATTCTCATCAAATCTTGTTTACTGTTTTGTATATGTCCAGCGGCATTTATGGTGGCATGACAAGCTTCCTCTTCCTCTTGCCCCCGACTCGAAATATGTTTGTAGAAACAAGATAATATATGGTGTGATCATTTATATTGAAATCTTAGGGTTATCAATTTTTATCTGAATTTAATGAATAGTTTTTGAGTTATTGCACTTGAATGATAAAATATCTTTAAAAATTTAAACCATGTGATTTGATAATTTGATCTGATGCTTATGTATTTGGGTTATTGATATTGATTTAAAAAAATATTTGTGGAAAAACTCAGCATAAATAACTGACAGTAAATATATATCAATAAATTCAAACTACAAATGTTTTATGAAAATCTTTAACTGAGAACTAAATGAGAAAATTGGTATTTTAGTACCTGGAAAGTGACATAAATAAGAATTTGAATTCAATATTTCAATATTTGTAGTTACCATCAGGAAATGCTGGACAAAGTGCAATTATACAGATTATGGATGCACTGCTTGGAATAGAACACTCAGAGGGTGAGTTGAACCATGCCCATTATCATTTTATTCAAAATTTTAATTACAGAATGACACGTTACCAAAATGACCGAAAAACACCCACTGAATACAGTGGAGGGGCTTTCTAATTTTGAAAAGTCAAAGAGTCCAGACCATCAGGATATAAATAAACTGTAATAAAAAACTATCGATTAGACAAAGGAACTTTGAATAGTTATTATAACAATACAATTTTTTCCTAACATAATAACTGCACAAAAGTTTCAACATTCATTTGAGATAAAACACCTTAAGTTCACACTTCTCCTTTTAATCTGTAAATCTGTATATTTTGTTTCTAGAAAAGACCACCTATCTCAAATTTGTAAGAAGTTTTATTATACCTAAACATTGTCAGTTTATAGAGGATATTAGAAATATCCATAAACCTCTGAAAAACTTGAGTAAGTAATTTTGTGACAAAATTTGAAAAATTGGGATTAATGTTATAGTTTCAAATATGGTTCCCATCGTTTTGAAGATTGCCAATATATCTGACATAATGAAGCCTATTGGTAATTTTATCGTCGCTTGTCGGTTTTTCAATGTTACGATGTGTGGCCAGACGCCCAAAATGAGTTATGATTTTGTATTTTTGTAGTTGATAACAGTACTGATGAAGAATTAAAGAAAACATACAGAAATTGTGTTGATGCACTTACTTCATTTAGAAGTTATCATATACAAGTTGTCACCAAGTAAGCTTTTTGAATGCTCAACTTATTTTGTGAAATGCAGTATCAGTCATTCGTAGTAAATTGTTGCGTGGTCGAATTTTGAGTTGATCAAAAGCATTTATTGAAGAAGAAGAATCCTGAAATTTTTTAAATGACGAGCAAAATCTTAAATTTAAAATAACAATTGACTGGTTGAATTATTTCCCAATAGAACTCCTTATGCATAACAATTCCTCAGATCATCGAGTGGTAAAAGAAGATTTACCTTACTTCGCCGTCACCACACACGAATTGAAGTATATTATACTTGTATAGTCTAATAGATAATTTGTTCATTATCAAGGCTATTATGCAGGAATTAGGGGGAACGTCTAACCATCTTGGTATCTTACCAATTGCAGTAAAAATTAGTTCATATTCAACCACAATGAAACCACAATGAGCAAAGCTATTTCGACTATTTGAACACTTACTTAATTGCAAGTATGACGTTATTTATGAATTTTTTTTACCATCAAGGTATATGGTTATACCAGACAGAAAAATGAAAAGAGAATCTGGAAATGTTGATATCAATGATCCCGGTACATCAGGTAAGGCTGACAAAGACTGAAATATTGTTTCAAGGTCAAACAACAGCAACCCTGTAGTGGAACTTATGACGTCACTTATAGTGAAATGTTTTATATACTTGCAGGTGTAATTACATTCCTGAAAGAATTGCGACAAGATACGAAAAATACTACTACTAATTCCTAGACAAGAAGACAATGAAGGACAAAATGCAATATATCGAAAATGATACGTTATAGTCCAACTATTGCATGAGAATATAGAACCACTGTAAATAATGCTTTGAAATATACTCAAGCTAGCTTTTGCACTAGTAGACTGGTTGCATCAGATACTTTATAAATGTTACATCTACAGAATCCATCTACATTTACTTACTCGTATACACTGTGTACCGAACAGGCACGATTCAAACAACCCTGTCATCATTAGAAGGAGAATGGTTTTCTATAATAAAATAAATATCACACTTTATTCCTTACTTACTGGCATACATTGTGTAGGCTACCCAACAGGCACGATGCCAACCAATATATCATAATTAGAATTAAGATAGTGGACCACAGCCATATACGCCCTTCACGGCATACGGTAAAAACGAAACATCCATTTTAAGTTTCATCAAAATCGGTTGAAAACTAAGAGAGTAATAGCATATTCCAGATTTTGGGGCAAGGGCAATAACTCTGCTTCTAACGGTCGAAAATAGCTCAAATTCGAACTTTATCTTTGTTTTATGAATATGTATACACATACCGAATTCATTTGATTCCTTCAAACACTGTAGTTTTTAGAGTGTTTACGAGCAATTGATGTTGATAGCACTTACTGTATAGAGGTTAAAGGTCGATAACTCCTCAAAACTGACATAAGAGGCCTAAATCTTGAAAAGACTTAAATTTAATCAGAAGTAAACTTAACTTTCTCAACCCTTTCGTTTTAGGTTCAATAACATCCATTTTAAGTTTCATCAAAATAGGTTGAAAACTAAAAAGAGTAACAGCATATTCAAGATTTTGGGGGAAGGGCAATAACTCTGCTTCTAACAGTTGAAAATAGCTCAAATTCGAACTTGATCTTCGTTTTATGAATATGTATACACATACTGAATTTCATTTGATTCCATCAAAAAATCTAGTTTTTAGAGCGTTTACAAGCAATTGTTGACGGACGGACGGACAGGGGTGCCGACAATATACGTCCACATAGAGAGATGTGTGAGATGTGGGCGTATAAAAATGATTTTTCATAATGAAAAAAATTATTACCATGTTTTCATGAATATGTCGATAAAATACTGATACTGAACTAATTCTCTAAAAAAAAAAAATACTGTTGAACATTCCAACTGCAGTCAAATACAGTAGCTTCCACTACCCTACGTTCTAGGTAATATTTAAGGGATGAGGTAATATTTAACGGATGAAGCGCCAAATTCTCTTCCAATCGTGTTTAGGCCACTGATAGCAAATTAGATTGTGGGTTCCTTCTGTAAATTGCTAGCTACTAGTCAGAAACCATACCACTTAAGTACTAGTATTGCTTCTTCAAATATCTTAACAAAAAAAAGTGGCAACACTTTTCTAAGATTTAATGGATTTATTAATTTATAATTCTTTTAACAAAGAATTTTCATAGAAAATACATGTACAACAAAACAGGGACGGATTAGGTTTTTATAAGGGATGGATTTGGAAAGAATGAATTCCCATAATGATTATATTATTACAATGTATTCATGAATATTTCTATTGGAATTTGATTTTACTACTCTTTGCCATAGATAATCGGACGACATTCTTCTTTCGAAAACAGTGTTAAAAGTGGTTACTCAATAGAAGAGATCAATGCTTGGCAATTCTAAAATTGATCATGTATAGTAAGGTGCTTTGACTGGTAAATATTAAATGACCATGGATCATGGATTGTTAATCGCATGCAGAAAAAAATTGGAGATTTACATTTTATTTGATAATGTTATGAATGGAACCCAAAGACAGCAATGTTGTATCGAAAGCAGCAAATGGTTGAATGGTTCTGATTTTAATAAATAAATAAACAAATTGTTATCAGTAATTCAATTAAAAATTTCCTTATAAAAGCCAAATTAATGGTTTTTGTACTATGAGACATCAAAGTCAAATCTCTGTTCCAATGGTCAATATGGACGATATATAAGTTTCTAAAGGAACATGAGTCTGATCAAGTATTTCTTGGGTTAAAGATACTGGTTCTACAAATGAGAAATTAAAAATCATATGATTCACAGAGAATCTAGTCAGGTGTCCCTGATATGCATACAAAACACAGTAGACTCTGTTTAAATCTCTTTAAGATTATAAAATATAAACAATAAATTAAAGGAATGTCTTATAATACAATTCAAGATAGTCTGTAAGTGTTTATTAATATATTAAGGTACTGGAACCATATTATCTTTAGCCCATTTCTTCATAGTTCTAATAATATATTCTACTTGAGGATTACTGGTATTTCTTAACATATTAATAACATCACGTAATAACTCTCTGGAAAAATAAAACATACTTGTATGCTTATTGTTGTAAAAAAAAGTCTGATGATCTCCGAGTGATGTCACAAAGTTAAAATTTTAACTTCATTTAATTTCACATATACTTGTAAAAACACCTTGGGTCCTCATAAATTTTGGCATTTGAATTCTACAATGTTATTAGAACCCCATGACATAATAAATAAATTTCCATGCAAAATGAAAATAGAAAGCTAGAGCATTGTAATAGGCCTGAATAACAGTAAAGCAAAAAAAGAATTTGCCAATTAAAACTTATAATTTCAGAGAGGAAGCTACCAGTATTACTTGTAGTAACAAAAAAAGTATTTAAGACAACATTGAAAGAGAGTGAGAAGATTTTCTGTGAGATTTTAAAACTGTGAATGCAATTATTTTTTTTTATTGTGTAGCTGCAAAGGGAAATAATGCAAGATCTAAAGTGTCCAGGTCACAATTTAGACCATAAGAAATATATTACATTTTGTTAGACTGCAACTGAATTATCCCTTGCCCATTTCTTTATACAATGGGTTATATATTCAACTTGTGGATTCTTAGTGTTATTCAGTATTCTGAGTAGATCTCGTAAAACATCTCTGAGATAGAATAATACAGTAATATAAGTAGAATAAAATAACTAAAAGAATAACTATCAGACAAATAGACTAAAATCATGCAAGAGAATAAGATAATAATTATATGTGGACGAAAAAGGTAACATCAAGCCTTTTTTGCCCTAGTTACAACTTATGATTTAAAAGAATCATGGAATTGTCTCATAAAAACAATATTTAAAAGCACTAATGTATGATAATGCAGAATGACGTGATATATTAATGGAGAAGTTACTGTCAAGTTTCAACTACAAGAAGATTTACTGTAAGTTACTTCTTAACAGATAGAAAGATATAATTTATCTTAAAACCCACCTTTGTTCATGTCCAGCTATAATTAATTGAAATACACCAACACATGCTCCTCTTTTACCCTCCCAATATTCTGGATTAGGGTCTAATCTTTCTAACACATCAAAAGCTTTAGCAGCATAATAAAACTGTCCCATCTGTAAATAGAAAAACATTCATCATTAGAGTTTCATTGATTATCACAAGTTCTTTAAAGTTGTAATATGGAATATTTTTTTTGATCAAAAATTCTACTTCCATATTGATACAATGATATTTCAATATAAACATCTACCATACTATATACAATATAATAATAATAATAATTCAAATTTGGATCATGAATCAGGTCTGTAAACAACAAAATGTTCAAGTCATTTAAACATAATAAAATTCTACTTCACGACATATTCCTTACCTTATAACAATCATTAGCTATAAGTTGTAATAAACTAAAAGATTCACCAGAAGTTTCCATTTTTAGATATAATTCCCAGGCTAATCTTGGTTTACGATTCATAATATCTATAAAATATAAAAAATATGACTTAATAACAAGACATTTTTTCATTGTTAAAACTGTGCTGAACAATTGTGAAGAGTTTCTGAGGATCTAACTCTGAATAAAGACACATGTTAGGTTTTTACTACTGCATATTATGCCTAATGCTTTTGCAGCTAATAAGATTTTATGCCTGCTCACGAAAAAGACAACTTAGGTTTGGCATAGATATTTCAAACCAATATATCTATTCAGATCTAATAACAGTAAAACTTACAGACTCGTGCTAACCAACTTAAATAGGTGTAGTCATTCTTCATCTTATCACTTTGTATCAGTAGAAATACCTGGTAATATAATCACACACTTATAAACTAGCATTGTTTTGTAAATTTGCATTGAAAATAAGAGCCTAAGTGCACGTTTAATACTTTCTGTTTTGCAATAATATTAGTCACAAAAAATCATGGAATTATCAGGAGATTTAAAATTATGTAGGCCTAAATTCCTGAAAAAAAAACCCAAAAGTTTAATGAAATTAAATAGAGAATAGATATTCCATAAAAACATGGAATTGTGTTCAATAGTTCCCTTACTTCAAGAATTATCAAAAAATCTAACTAACCTCTTCTGATTCCTTATAATTACCAACAGCAGCTTTAGCTTGAGCATAGTTAAAATTAAACGCATCATCATTGTAGAAATAACTCTGAAATAATACATGTCAAGTTTAATATCAACTGTTGTGTTATGATATGTCATTTTGAAAGTGCATTTTGAATTTTAAACTCACCTTGACAGAATTAAAGTATATCAGTACATCTTCAAATTGTTTGAGTAAGAAAAAACATGATGCCATACATTGTCTTCCTGGTATAGTGTCTACAATAAAATACCATGAGATTTAAATCTTAATATTCTACACCTAAATTTTTTTTATAGATTACTAGCCTTTCCACAAAAAATCTATTTGCAAGACAAATCTCAATCATTTCCTATGCAGTATTGCTACATATGTCAAAAACCTCTAAATGTTGAATTATATTTCTTAATACATGTATTAGAAAGAAATTGATCAGAATATTATCATACCACATTCACTGGCTGAGCCACCAACTAACTGAAAATATTGTTGAGCTATCTTCAAATGTTCTCTCTGAAGATAAAAAAATTCATTGTTACAATAAAGATATACATAGTATCTGCAAATATAATAACTAATAAAACAACAAATTCAGAAATGAAGATAGCTTGCCAGGCAAGACTACATACGCCCACTGGCAGCTGTCAGTAATGATAAAACAGTCAAGTAAAAAATTTTCTCATATTAAAGAAATTTTATTAGTTTGAATTCAATGATATATATATTTACTTTCAGTTTTTAATGCTGAGTAATTCCACAAAATTTCTTAAAATCAATTTCAATAACCCAAATTTATCAAATCATTAAATCACACAACTCTAATATCAAGGGCAACAAATTGTTAAGAGTGAAAATTCAAACTTGACCAAGATGTCATCAATATAAATAAAAAGACATAAAACTCCATTCATTTCATTCAGCATAAAAATCACATGAAATCTGTAGTCTCTATTGTGATTATGAACAAATTTTGAAGCATTTTATCTAAGTCAGGACAATAACTCAAAAACGAATCATCGAAAAATCTTCAAATTCAAACTTTGATCAATATACATTATCACATCAAGTTTCATTAAAATCAGATAAAAACTGTAGTCTCTATTGTGTTCACAAGAAATGTTGACAGGTGGACCGACGGACAGGGGCGACGGCAATATACGTCCTTATCTTCTGCACCTAATTGGGCTAATGAAGACTACACTTTTTTGATTTATTTAGAAATATTAAACAAACAGAAACAAGAAGTTACTCTGTGCAATCTTCAGACAACTGATCCATTTCCCTACTGAAATTTATCAAGTAGCAGGAACTTATTCTGTGCTTTGTGAAAATTAGGTTATGAATACATGTAACCATACTCTTCTCAGAGGATAAGCAAAAAAATGAACAAATTTACCGAGCCAGATTCTTGTCCTAAAGTAGCATTAACAACACCTTTCAAAATATATTCTTGTGGAGTTGTGGGTTCAAGCTCCTTTACTAGATTATATGCCTCATTTATGTCATCTATAAAAAAAAATAGTTATGCTCAAAAGATGGCAGAACATAATATAAAAGACAGAATGATTCTTAGTGATGTGCACTAGCTCAAAAATAATGGATACTTAATAATATATAGATATTTTTAACCTAAATTCAACATTATCAAAGGTCAACCAGGCTTGAAGAATACTTATTGATTTCTGTTAACTTTAAATTTGATTACAAAGACGGTAACATACAATGCTAAAAATTCTCCATAATTCTTCTTTTAACATCTAAATAATCATATCTAACCTTGTTTAAGATAATAAATGACTAAGTTAAGTCTTGCTTCTGGTATAACATCTATTAAAGGAGGTAATACTTGTAGAGATCCTTCGCCATTACGAAATACAACCTAGAAATTAACACAAATCATTTAATAACTAAAATTGATAATAATATAGTATCTCAATCAATATTCAATAATTATTCACACTTTGATTACTATCTTTATCAAATTAATTCATAAAATCAAATTCAAATCACTGTCTAATGCTATCAGTGCTTACAACTATATTTACAACGGATATTCTATACCAATTTTAATGAAAACAAACTAACCAAATTGTGTTTGATCAAATCTCTAGCAAACACAAAAGAAGGTGATGCCATTTCTTGTAGAGCTTTAAGTTCAGCTTCAGCAGCTTTACCATTATAAAGTCGAAAATGATTGCAAGCTTTAAGATTTAATGCTATAGCACTGTCAGTAAATGTCTGCAGATATACAGCTAAAACTTCCTACAAAATAACATTTTAGAAAGTCACAAACAAGATCATTTTTTTGAACAAAAAACACGTTGTTTTTTTAGCTGGAATATACATTTATCTCAAAATACATATAAACCATTCCTCATGGCTTGGAATTCCGATAGAAAATGTCAAAAGTCATTTTGTTTGATTCTGTGGGTGCATAATTGAAACTTTGTTATTTCAGCCAGGAAAATTTGATTTTGACATAAAGCTTCAATATTACTTTGATAGTTCAAATAAAATAAGATATTACCTGTGAGACATCATAATAATCGAGCTTATAATAACATAAAGCTACATACACATTTAGCGCCAAATAATCTCTGAAAAGATAAATCACCAAATGAGATGAAAGTTGAGAAAACCTTTCCACTAATGTTTGAGCAACATAGTTGTATAAAGATCCTTGAGCCATCTCATCTAAAAACACAATGATATCATATTATACTATGGTATACTCTGTGTACCAGTACACGAGCTATAAAATTTAAATTCATTTTTGTTTATGTAGTATGAGATATCAGTTTAACTTAAAAGAAAGGGGGTTTTAGAACTAATTCTATTTGACATTGCTCTTATTGTTGACATCAGTATTGCTGATTGGATAATGTTTTATTTTGGAATAATAGCTTACACTTCAACATGAGCAAATCAAACACACAAAAATGAGTACTCTACCTGTTATCAAGCAAAATCCGTTTATAGATATCTATGGCCTCTTGATAATGACTACGTAAATAATGAATAGCTGCTAGAGATAACTGATCTTCTATAACATCTTGCAAATTTTGATGAAATCCCATTAATTGTCTTTCATCGTTAAATTTATGAGATAAATGAAACTTCATGCGATTCTGCAATTGTCCTTTAGGACCTGGAAATCAAAATTTTTGTATAAAAATCCGTAGTTTTTTAAGTTCTGTATTGTCTTTTAATCAATATATATATCTTCTATAAATTTTACTATCGGAATTCTCTTATAAGGACATAAATTCAGATTATGATTTGGCAAAATTTACAAATGAACATATAAAGTAAAAATAATATCATATTGGTCTATACTAAAAGTAGGAAAAGGCCTTTGGAGTTTAATTAAGCTTACTGTAGGCGCCTGAAACTGAAATATGAAAAGAAAAATAAATTTATAATCACCTTTTTCCACAGCTTTTTGAGCTTGTGGGTACATTCCAAGAAAAAAGTAAGCACATGCTAGAAATGTCCAAACATCAGGTTGACAATTTCCTCGTTTCGTTAATCGTTCATATTCCTAAAATATAATATGTTATGTCATAAGCTTACAGAAAATAATATTTTCCCTTAAAACCTAAAGAATTTTTACTTGAATCCCAGTAAATTCAAGTATAATCACACACAAATCATAATACATTTTACACTAGAACACTTCACACTCTTACTTATAATGCTTTAACTTACTGATTTAATATTCACTCACCTCCATAGCTCTTTTATAATCACCCAGATGAAAGGCACAGTAAGCTATCCATAGATCAGTTTCTTCATTACCCTTACCACTGGCCCTGTTAAACTTAAAACAGTTCCAAAAAATTAGATCTTGAAATAATGTATCCAACATGTTTTTTTTTGTATTAGAAATAAATTTACAACAGTTCATACCAATGTATGTTTATGATATTATCCCAGCAAGGAAATTAGTTAAATACAAACATCAAAATTCAATATTTTCTGTAATCCTACCTCCAATAAAGTTATCGCTCCTGTATAATCTCTAGCATCTAAAAAATCTTCATACTTGGGAACTTTCTTCTTTTTACTTGCTTCTTTACTTGGACCAGCTGTTGCTCCTGGCCCAACAGCCGGCTTCATCCTTGAGAGCATCTAAATATATATTACATATAAATGAGAAAGTGAAGTGTTGATTTACAAGAATAGAAAATTAGCAAATAAATGACAAATTTTTGACAACAAGTTGATTGAATATCATAAGATTACATAAAGCTCACTGAAACCTACAACAATTCAACAATTGATTGCAATTAATCTGAAGTCAACATATCTTATTAAATGGCAATGCAAAAAAACACTCTTATAAGCTTATATATGCTTAATTTAAATGAAGTTTTGTCTTAAAAAATGGGTCATGAGCTATTGAAATGAAACGAACATCTAACCCTTCCGGTAGACTAGTAGACCCTTTATTTTTTCTCCCTTGACTTCATCCAAGACGTTGAACTGAGGGTAAGACCCTGTTCTTGACTCTTTGTCTTAGTTTTAGGATATTTGTTTTTTTTTTTATTCCGCAAATACTGTGGTTAAACAGTAGTAAATCTTATTATCAGGTCCAGATGTGTGCTAAATGATTTTTTTTGACTTATGATATACATGTATTACTATTAGGTAGACTTGTCTTAGGTAGAGGTAAGTTACAAACTGAATTCTAATTAATTTAATTTGCAATGAAAAAAAACCCATTATAATGCGCAACAACATTGTGTTAAAACATTAAACTCACCATTTTGAAAGGATTCTATGTTTTACTCTGACTCATTTAACATGACCATTTACAAAACAGGTGAATGCATAAATTTCTCATATAACTTTTTAGTTTACATCGGCAACTATGGAATTTCATCTTCAATGCGCATGCCCATATTTCACTTCCGTTTCCTTAAATCTCAAACTGGTTCAACGAACCTGAATTAGTTTGTTGATCAGAACATTTACAGCAGCAATCAGATACTACTGGGCTATATCAAATGTTTATCTCTGGTTAGCATATCAGAAATGTAGAACGTAAAACTCCATTCTTTTCATTTCTGGTTAGCCTATAATTGACCAGAGATAGAAAAGAAATATAGTTTAACATCCTTCTTTTCTGCAGCGAACTGGGCTAATCACAAAAAGTATTCATGACAAGTTGAACGTGCAAAAAACAAGAAAGAAAAGAAACAAAATTATTTATATTTTTAACTTTAAATTGGAAGTCTGTTAAGAAATTCACTAAGGTGGTCAAGAAGTTGTAGTGCTTACTAACAGACCGAAGAACAGGTATAACAGGTATAAAATGAAGACGGGAAACATTACCAACAACTACCTAGTTTGCGATGTCAGCATCCGCTGGAAGCGAACGTTAACTCGTCATCTACCAACCCACCATTCAGTGTGGAGTGAGGAACATTTCGCCTAAATAAGTAGAAATGATTAGGCTATATGGTATTAAGGTGCACTGAGACGGATCTTAAGCAACGAAAGCACCGACATAATGTAAAAATAAACGATTACACAGACTTGAGATTCAAGGACATCAATGATATTAACACCACACCTGAATTATTTCCGACATAAATTCCGTGTTGTGATCCTAAACGATAGGCTACCCTGACAATTTGAAATTGAAAAAAAAAAAAAGACGACGAAGTCGATGTCTTGGCATATTTCCTTTTTTCAGTACTTCATGGAAGGGCGTAATCTCCAATCCCACTATTCTTTCAAAGCGACATTTAAAATTTACATTTACATTAGAAGGGGCAATTCTTTAAATTAGTAAAATGATGACAAACTATGTCATAAGTGGTGGGGGA